CGATTTGCCTGCACGCGTAGCGTAGAGAGTATTAAAGCTGGATCTGAAATCCTTAGCTTACGCAAGAACACAGGATACCCTTGTAAAAATTTAGCCCCCTATCTTTTTGATTCCCGAAACCGCCTTCCCATCAAACAATTGCGTATTTTCATTTAGTTGGACGTAGATGATATCCAGGCGGTTGATTTTAAGTTGACGGTTGGCACGTGGGCTAGGAACATCCTCTTGAAATTTCAGCTTTTCAGCTCTTCCAGTGGAGACAAAATTCGAATGCAAACACACACACGCACATACACGCAGACACACATACATGCACAATTCACACATTTGCGTACCGACAATCATTCGTCAACATGCGTTTTTGCTTGTATGCAAATTGCAAAAACGCATACTACAGCGACTCTGTCTGGGCATTTATGCGTGTATTTGGGTGTTTGTTTGTGTGTGTGTTTGTGTGTGTGTTTGTGTGTGTGCGTTTGTGTGTGTGGTTGTGTGTGTGTTTGTGTGTGTGTTTTTTTATGTGTGTGTGCGTGTGTGTGTGCATGTGTGTGTGTTTGCTCGTCCGCCCGAGTATTTCAGCTCGGCAGACAAGCAAACTCCGGCGCCAAAATTTTGCCAATGGGTCCTCCGGCCAAGTGTCACCCTAACACCGCTGTACCAACCCTCACGCAAGCCTGGGCCCCACATAGGAGAGGGTAAAAGTTTTAGCGGGAAAATTGCTAACTCGGAAACGAGAAAAGCTAGAAAGCTGAAATTTTTAGGTTATGTTCTCCGTTCAAAGATTTTAAATTCAGCCTCCAGCCATGCGTGGTTGTCACGTACGGCCCAGTGGAATCTTTTGTTCATATCACTTATTACTGCAGCTACTCAAACCACCATTCGGTTTTTACTGCATATTCGAAAAGCGGTAGTACTAACTACAGATGAGCAACATGATATTGAAAGTCCTACTGCGCCTGATGGACAGGGCTTTTTAGTAACATGAGAAAAATAGAAGGCCTAGAGGTCTTAGTATTCCAAATATGCGATAGGAAACACATCCATACCGCTTTTTTACGGATGCGAATATGTCACATTCATTGTAAACGACAATGAGCGTTTCCCACAAGGTATAAAAGGTTGAGAAATTTCTCGCCTAACAAACAAACCTAGTGCTTTTTAACAAATTTGTAGTTGCAGGAAATTTATTGCAACAGCCATGTGCCGACAGCTGGGCCGCATGACCTGCCACCGTTACGAAATGGTCACAGCAATGGGACGCATCGGAGTAATGGATTTCGCCGAGACGCCGGTCTCAATGACCTGAAAATCGCTCACGCTATCAAAGCGACTCAAGTCTCGAAGCCGTATCCTAAAATCAAGCATGCCGGCGCACGATACGTTGTGGTATGAAGTCACTCTTTTGATTCCAGGAATTACTTTTCCCGAAAAACGAGCGCAAGCACACATGCACGTAGAGATATAACTTACATTTAATAAGTTTTTACTTGCGTGATGCAAAAACGCATAATAGCTGCGGATCGTTGCAGAGAGCTGTTTTGCTAGAACTGTGTGCATGTCCCATAAGTATAAAAAAGCTTATCAGTCTTTGAGGATTTTACGTTTAAAGAGTCGAATGTCAATTTTTGCAAGAAAGACTTCAGGGAAATTTTCACTATTTTGCTTTTAATCAATTACGGAAGTGCTCCCAGCTAGCCTATCAGTCATAGATGTTATTTTCTTCTGGTAAAATTCAAATGCTTTCTATGTTGCACATCTGATTCAACTGTTTTGACGCAGCAAAGGCAACGTAGGTATGCATGCAGATCCCTCTCGGCACCACTTAAATATTCACACGCTCATTTAGGCAGACTGGTCTCTCGTTCTTGATTCTGCAACGTAAACAAAGTGCTGTCCAGTCAAAGGATGAGAAAAATCAATAGATCCGTAAATCGCCAAATGTTTTCACATTAATCAGTTCATTTTCTGCTTTCTCGCTCCACTCACCAACAGAAATTTTTATTTTAGCTAATTTCTCAGCAAATTCCACTTATACTGTTCGTAACAAGCGCTGCGTTCCAGAACTATGGGGACGATGAGCTGAAGTTTTCTGCCCCTTTATTCATAATTACTTCAGAGTGCCCTTCCACTGTTAACCTTGGCATACATTCTCATTTAATTTCCCTGCGTTCATCTGCTAGTCAGTAAATGTTTTTTCTTTTTTTTTTTCATTCAAATCTGCAAATTTTTTGAAATACAGATTGTAGGAGGCGAAGGAGGAAAATTTTTGTCTTTGGTAACATTTTACAGAAGAACAGCAATTTTACTGTAATTCGTACACTCTGCTGTTAACCCGATGCACTGGCTCATCCGGAATTCGAGGGTGTTATTTTGTGGGTGGGTAATTGTCGACATATTGCACAACACTGTCTTTAAACATCACACCTGTTTGAAGGATAATTTCTAAGAATTTTATGAAAGCATAAAAATGTCGAAACAATTCCAAATGCATTAAACTCCATGGGAGCCCCATTATTACGAGGGATTGTCCGAATCCAGTTTTGTGGTGCATCTTGGAACCATTTTGCCAAAAAGCTTTTGCTTTTAAGTTTTGTCTGCTGATAGCAGAGCAACTTGAATCTGAAAAAAAAAAACACAGTTGCGGAG